GCAAGGTCTGAGATTTTCTTGATTTGTCGTTTGCTAACATACCTTGCTGGGAGGAGGTGTCAGTAGAGACATTACTTGTAGTAGTCTTTCCTGCAATTTGTCTGCGTTCGTTTCTTGTGTTTGGCAGTGATGTTTCAGCAGCATCAGTTGTATTGATGGCAGTGGTTGTAGTAATAGAGGAGGAGGAGGAGGAGGAGGAGGAATTGGTGGTGGTGAGTTCGTTTATGATAATGCGCCGTTTTGATGGCGTTGTTGTGGAAGAGGGAGTGTCGGACAGGTCGGAGGGGAGAATATACTCATTTCTACGAGCATGCAGCCATTTGCGACGTCAAGATCGCTGGACAGAAATAACCGCGAGCCACGACGCAGTTTTTTGGTTCTCGAGTATAGGTGTGACCGTTCGATTTCGTGGTGACATACAAGCTCGAAGTCTGCGGTTTTTTTGTCACCGGACTTTCCTCCTGAGTATTGGGATGTGCCTAGTTTTGTTTTTTTTTTTCGGTTGGTGGCGACTTGACTATACCACATGTTTGTATGGTGGTGCGGGATGAGTGGGACTCGTTTGTGTCCGTTATGTGCAGCCGATAGATTGTTATCTAATAATGATTAGGGTATCGATAATAATTAGTATAATGTGAAGATTGGGTATAAGTGTGTTTAGTTATTAAGAAATGGAGAAAACCTACTTTGATTATATTGTCGGTGTTTGCGGTGACGTTTCCTTCTAGTTCAACGATATCGTCTTTTCGGAAACGATCAATTGACGTGAATGCTGCCTCTGCAGCGTAATAATCGTACTGTCTTCGAACAGTTGCACGGACATTCTTAATTATGGCGGAAGTGGAGAATCATATCGAAGGGAGGGGATGTATATGGTGTGTGCGTATTAACAGAATACGTAGAGTTTATATAAGTCGAGGAAAAGAGTACTGCGTCGTGCGTGTGAAGCACTCGCGTGAATGGGAGAGATGGTTTTATGATAGTAATGGTTTGGAATTTGAAATCTTACCTTCTCATTTCACGTCTTCTAGTCTTTTTGTCTTCTCATTTTGTTTCTATGTCCTTGTGTCTATATGTTTTGTGTTTCTTTGTCTTCTCATCTCTTCGTATCAACCATTTTGTATTTTTTTGCCTTCCTGTCTCCTTGTCTTCTCAGTCTTCGCCTCCGTTTTTTGTCTTTCTTTTTTTTTGTCGGGGATCGTTAGTCTCATATTAATATGGAAATTCAGGATGAGGATTCACGTTAAACAAAGTTTTGTTTACCAGTGCAGTGGCTTAGTGGGAATTAGTAAACTGTGATCGTAATTTTTTTTACCTTCTAAAAATAATAATAAGAGATATCAATATTTTAATATGTTAAATATGTGTGCTTAATTTTTGGATATTAGAGAAATGGGAAAATTCGATAGAATAGATGATAAGTTCAGAGGGATAAATATGAGTATTTTTATTGAGTTAGGAGTTGAAGAATGTTCGTGAGAAGATGGCAATAGATTATAGGCTGATGTTTATCATATCATCTTATAAAAATGGTTTCATGTGAAATGGCGAAACTTAGTATAGTCATACAGGGACCATCTTTATTAATACAGTTTATTAATTAGTTATTCATTTTAGGGAAAATATGTGAACGTCTATTATTATTACAATTACTTTTGAAGGGGGAAGGGGGTGGTTACAAAGATAATGTGAATGGATTTGTTAGGATATAGTAAACGCGAACAATACGAACAGGGGAATGCAAGGAAATTGGGCATAATCTGATTCGTGGAGTTTGCGTAAAATTTGTATTAAAGCATTGGAAGGACGCCAAAATGTATGCTCAATTTCTTGGAGATGCGCAGGAATAGACGCGTTAATTGAAGGGGAGATATGTCGGATTGATGGGAAAATGATTCGGGGAAAATATGAGAAGCTGGTTCAGAAAAATCAACGATTGATTCGTATGGTGCCAATAAATCAAAAGAAAGTTGTCAATTATTCGAGACATTTAGTAAAAGTTTTTGTTTGAGGTAAAAGGTCAGTGATGTTTGAGTAATAGAAATTCAATATTTGTTTAGCGTGGAGACAGAATATGATCATGGTTTATTTATATATTTTGGATTCACATGTCGTCTTGTATACCTTCTTAGTTATTCAAGGTTACTTGAGCGAAAAATAAATAGTCGTTAGTATGGTCAAAGATCATATTATTCATTATCATTGCAAGCATAAATTACAACTGTCTTCCATAAATCGATTACAGGAATGGCGAATTACTTGGTATTAGACGAAATGTTCTATTTCCCTTAACGGTAGTAATTGTCGAACGTCCGAACTGATGTTCTTGTTACAAATAAGAAGGGTTGTAATTATTCGTTCTGAACTTAAGTTATTGTTGTCGATTACAAGAGCGATGAATTACTTACAGATCAAATATATCTGAACGTCCGAACTACAAATTAAAGGATCGTATTATTGTATGTTTAAGTCACTGTTGTTTTTCATAAATCGAGAAAAGTCGCAATCAAACGTTTCATCTCAGATAATTATAGCTTGAACGTCCGAAATAGGATTATCGCTACTTACTGTCTCCTAGCAGCTGCATTAATTAAATAACGTCCTATCAGAGACGAATAATATCTTTTAATACGTTATATATTACATCAATTACATCAATACTTGCTAGAACGATTACATTTGGAACGACTTCTTGTTTCTTCATTCCCTTTTCAATGTCTTCAAACTACATACGTAAGATTACTTAATGGCCGAATGACCGAACCGAGTAATCTATGATGAATAATAGTTTTAGTGTTTGAATGAATCTCGATGATGGGAAATTAGCTATGACCATATGAATACATAACACGTCTCATTTCTTTCAATACCTCTTTCAAATTACGTACGTAAGAATTGCTTAATGACCGAATGACCGAACCGAGTAATCTGTGGTGAATAATATAATTTTAGTGCAACGTCATCGTTTGAACGAATGGGAAATGTAACCAAAGTACCTCATTAACACTATCGTGTTCATTATATATTCTGAAGGGCATTATCTCTTTTGAAGAGGAGAGGCGATGTAGAGGAGAAAGAAGAAGAAGAAGAAGAAGAAGCGGAGGAGGAGGAGGAGGAGAAAGAGGAGGAGGAAGAGGAAGAGAGATTTATATCTCATTCTCTACTCATTCTCACGCTTAACTCTTAATTCTTAATTCTTAACACCTTATTAATAATTACATAATACATATATTAAGGTTTGAGGTATTACCTTATATAATAATAGATAGTAAAATTCAGCCGAATCGATTAACAACAAAAATGACCCTATTTATATTTAGGTTTTCGAGGTTAGCGCAAGTTAAAACCCCTGCACAGTAACGTCCTATGACTGATATATAAATTGCACGGGAATTGAAAAAAGTAACGGTTTCGCGAGGTATCTAAAAGTGATAAATGCAATTCCCCAACCTCGCAAACCAATCATCATGTGTGAACGCGATGGGCTACAACCCTCGGCATTGGGTTCGGAGTGTTTAACGATACCACTTATAACCATAATAGCCATTACGTTCATAAGTCGCTACGATAACCACATGTCTAGACAAATATTCCCGCAAACCGTATTCAGGGAAGCATAACCCAACGACTAGAATGATGATAGTCCGCTCATATCCATTCTATTATGTCTTTCTTAGTTCAGTACTAGAGATATTAATTCTTCGCTTAGCGTCGAATACAAGTAACTCACACTATTATAATATTGTCATAGGCTAACGATATCTCTCCATTAGTAATTAATATCACTAATCACTATCGGTGTTACAGTGAATTAGTCAGCAATACTAATTATGAACACTCTCGAGGGAGGTCACTGTCGAGAGATATTCCTAGACAGAATGTTATCCATACTCAGTTGAAAGTAGAGATGACAATATCATGTAGAGGTTGAGTTATCTTCTTCGATGTCTTGTTAAGTGAGAAACCATTACGAACAATATATTATTTGTTATAGTCATCCAACCATTATGTTTATACTCGATAAACAACGGTTCTCTCTTACGAATACGCACTAGAGATAATAATATCTCTCTCTCACTTAATCACATCGGTATATATAGCCTTTCCTATGTTGGTTAAGAAAGTTATTAAATGTTCGCCACGAAGGAATACATAGTGAAACCACTATATTACGAGCCGACGGAAAGACTCGCCTCGCTTTGATACAGGTAATAATATTAACACAACATAATAACTCTTGTTCTCAGCGAACGTACTCACTTACGAACGCTTTTACTTTATTCTTAAACATGATCTTTCTCAACGAACAAGTATTGTTCCATCGACTGTTGTAATATGTAAAGCTTTATCATCATTTAATTATAGCTTTCATTATCGTAGCGGAAGTCTTATAGTAGAACCCGCTTCCATATCGCTACGTTTATAAATATTAAGCTCCTTCTTCACGAAAGTCGCTTCAGGAGACTTAAGAACGATAGTGCATTATCCTTTCATTCGAATCAATATTGAACTGTCTGCAATAAGCTAACCAAGTTTTACGACAAAAGTCTAACAAGGTTTCGTTATGCATTAAATTCATATACCAAGGTTGACAATAGTAATAGGATCGGTTGGATTTCATTCTATCGGTAATTAGATATTTATTATTATTTCAAGATGCGTTTGTATGATGGGATTAAATACATTTTTGAACTACCGCAGCTAATTAACGTCCAATAAAAATGTAATCGTTTCAGACTACTGGACTATTCATCAGTTTTTATACCGCAGCGATCACATGATCAAATCGCCAACCAACTGGCATCGATTCAAGCTTTAGATAATGCTTAACTGCTTCTACTCGCATTTCTATCTGACTTAATAATATGATTAATGTCAGGAATTGCTCTCTCAACAGTGTAGAAGGGATGTAGTTGAAAAAATCAAGCAGCGTCTGTCCATTTTCCTGTGCTGCTTTTCCGCATTAATATGGTGTTCGTTCTTGACCTTTTTGTATATGTTTAATGGACGATTTTATCGGGGGAGATTTGAACAAATATTTTAAACAAGTCTTCAGCCTCATCATCATTCCAATCGCCAACTTCAGATTCTCTACTACTATTATCATTCCAATAATCAACTTCAGATTCACTATTTCCTGTGCTGTCTTCTCCAACTGCATATTCAATAGAATAATCATCATTAGTAACAAAATCGATGGGTCTGTGCTATAAAGAGAATTTGGCTTTCTCTTTTCCTAGCAAGCTCGCGACAGACAATGGGTAGACCCACGAAACGCACCCAATTCAAAGAACGAAACTTGTCCAGCTCAAATGATTAATACACGATTACAATAAATCGGCCCTAGTACTAATTCTCGCCCTGTCATATGTGATTATTATTCTAATCCGGTAATACATGGTAGTTAGTATTACTGTAGATGTGCACCACAAGTTAAAGTTGTTCACAGTTAGACAAGTTCTCGTAGCAGCGAAGAGATTGTCGATTCTCATTAATAATTAATAACGTCTTCGTTCAATCGTCTTTCTTAGAAAGCTAAGCGCTTCAAATTAATGTGCACTTGTCTAATTGGTACAGTCAGCCTCGATAAGCCGGTTTTTGGCTTAAGCCGGCCAAAATTTTTCTTTCACTATTCAAAAATTCTCGATAAGCTGAAGCCGGCCAACAGCTCCAGCCGGGTCTTAGTTGAATGTACAGTGGAATCTCCCTAAGTGCAGGTCGTTGGGACCGAAGCCAAAGCCTGCACTTAGAGAGAAACCTGCACTTAAAACTCCTTCAACTTTTTACACAGATGTTATTGTTCTTCACAGTAAGCTCTACAAAGTTCCGGTCAAATTTTAAAAATAATATCTGTGTAAAAAGTTATAGGGGTTTAAAGTTCATAAGTTTGATCGGAAATCGCCGCCAAAATAATAAAAATTTTTTGCTTATCATATTACGATACGATATTATTGGTCAATTAAAATTGAAATAAATCACGTGATTGTCGAGTATAGATTTCCGCACCATAGTCAAAAAATCGATTAAATAAATCCTTGATATCCATGGTAATGGCAAATAACATTTGGCCATCAAACATTATCAGCATAGGTATTGGTATTATAAAAATACATAAATATTAGAATACACATTAAAAAAGTGAAATTTTGGAAATTTTCAACTTACACATAACATTCTATAAATTTCTTTCAAATGAATCTTCCTAAGTGCATGATCTCTAGGTGCATAATCTTTCTAAGTGCAGGAAATAAACTGGTCCCATATTGGGACCTATGAGATTATAATAAGTGCTGCATGACATTTTTTGCTCTTATTATTTATTGTTGTACCTTCTGGACTGAGACAACTGAGTATGAGTTATGAGTTCTGCCAACACATAAAAAATTCACAAGTGCATGATGCAATAAACAGCCAATCAAATCTATGCTCTTAGTACAGTACAGTCGGGGAATATACCAAAAAAGGAAACGTGTTCTAGAATAATCTGTGAACCAATTCTTGACATTTGATTGGCTCTCGTGAGTTTTTTACGCCTGCATTCATTGTGAATTTTCACGGTATTTATTCATCATTGAAAACCATTCTAATACACAGTAAAGGATGTCTAGTTTTCATAATCCACAATAATCCACCACGGCTAACTCACTTCAAAAAAGTAAATGAGACACGAAGACTCTAGTACTGTGCTAGTGAAAGTGAAATGACAAAGTAATTTCACTAACTATGTCCAATATTTAAATAACTTTTTTTCATAGTATCTGTTAACCAGAAAGCAAGTGCAAAAGACCTTCTATGTCTTTTTGCTGACTTGGTGGATTAAAACCATGCGAGACAAAGATGGCGGCATGCTAGTACTGCGGAGAAAGTCAGACGACTCGCATCCTATCATAATCATTTTCCTGAACTTACTAACCTACATTCTTCTTTAGAGCTTATTCATTTTGCGAGAAACACTATAACCAGATCGTCGCTACTAATCAATTTTATCAACGTCTTATAGGTTCCGCTCAAGTGAATAAAAGACTCCGATTCGATACTGATGAAGATGATGTAACCGTTCCTACGAATCCAGCTGTTGAGCTTGACAATACCACTTCTGAATTTTGCTCAGCTGGAAAGTCGACAGAAATCAGAGACGATAACAGATCTCAACAATCAAATCATACGAATGCAGCAACACTTAGAAGATCAGAAATTCGAGATTGAAGAGACGACTACGCAAGACTTATGACAATATGAGTGAGCGCAATAATAACCAAGCACCCAATACTCATATGACTTACATGTATATGCTTGTTAACCATAACTGTTGTCGAGGTGTATACTGAAAATTGACACGGAATATTAAGTATGATTTAAATTTTGATATTCCGATTCGCTTGATTATTCGAAAACGCAAAATCGGTTTTCGTCATAATGGAACAATCAAACTTCCAATACTCATATAACTTATAAGGTTGTTAACCATAACCGTTGCCGAGGTGTAGACTAAAAATTGACACAGAATATCAAGTATGATTTAAATTTCGATATTCTGATTCTTCCAAAGACGCGAAATCGGTTTTTGTCATAATCCGGAATAACGCAATAACCAAGCATCCAATACTCATATAACTTATATGCTTATTACCCATAACTGTTGTCGAGGTGTAGACTAAAAATTGACACAGAATATTAGGTATGATTTAAATTTCGATATTCTGGTTCTTCCAAAAACGCGAAATCAGAATCAGATGCACAAGAAAAAGAAGAAACTATGACCAAAGCAGAAATCTTGTTAAAAGTAGAAGCCCTTCTTGAACAGCTGGGTGAAAATGCTCAGAAGCAGTATTCTGGATTAAGATCAAAAAAACGAAGTGAATTGTTAAGTATATTGCAAGAGATAAAGTCTTTGTTCCAATCAGATAGTGAATTCAATAACCAAGACTGTTTAGGAGGTTCAGAAATAAATATACAAGAATAGATTTGTTGAATTAGCATTCTTCAACTTGACTCTTTTATTGTAAATAAACTACTGATTTATGATTATCTAATACTAATACTAAAATGTATCAAATTACTAAATGTCTCAAAAGAAATCTGATCGGCGTTCCTTACTTATTAAGGTGCGATCGTCATCAGTCCAAATTTGGTATATTCCCCGACTGCACTAAGAAACATTTATTGTGTTACATCACACGCACGGATCTCCAAGGTGTTACAGTTTTGTTATAGCGGAGCCCTTATTAGTATGATTTCTTGACTATAATTAATCAATGACGTAATTATTACGAACATTTCGTCATTGCTGGATTATCCATTGTATGCAGAATGACCAATGATAATTGATGCGCAGCAACGCGCATTTATCTATTTAAGCATCATCGCAAGATTTATTATAGAGCAAGCACTAGTCGCTTACTTTCAGAAAAGCAACCACAATGTATTAAATATCGTTAAATAACCAAAATATATCAGCAAATATATCAAACAATTTCATCGATTACGCTTTGTGAAAAATGTTCACATTTCACAAGCAAATTCTTCCTTGGAGTGTTAACTGGTTTCGTTCTTGGTTTATTGGTAAACTGGCTAATCTGTAATAGCCAACTCCACAATATGAGAACATTAAGTAAGTCTATGAAGTCCAGAAAGTCACCAAAAACCAAAATTATCGTATTTATTATTATTCTTACTCGAACAGTATATAAAGAATCATGGAATTTGTCCCTATTATCGATAATTATAAAGAAACAGATATTTGTTTTATGTTTCTAGCTTTCGTTTCTTTCTTGGTTCATCATGTGTTGGTGTTAATGTTCGTTTATTTGTTATGATTTTCCGTTCTTCTTGGTAAATTTCATAAGTAATTTTTTCTTGATCTAGATATTCCTGGAGAGTTTGGGTGTCATTAATTTTAAAAATGTATGGATCAATTTTTTCTCCTTGTTCTTTCTTTAGAATGCTTCTAATAGTACTGTAATTCTTGGGTTCCATAGTGGATTTAATGTAAATTAGTTTCATATTTATATTTTTATATATAGAGATAATCCTATATTACTCTTGTTATGGTTTATATTCCTCACATTTTGGTATGATAAAGTGAAAATTAAAATCAACAAGTCTATAAGTTATAAATGAGCACCAAATTACTTTCAAAACATCATTAGTATTAGTCAAATTAGTTAACTTTCAGCCACACCAGCCTCTTATTTCAGAATGTTCACTTTGTCTGGTTTTGTTGCAGCATGCCCCATTTAGCATGTACAAGTCATGATCTGGCAGAATTTCTGCTCCAGCTTTGACATCAGGGTGCCAATCAATATCTGGATTCAGGAGAGGTGGGTAAACAGCCTCTCCAACCTTACTATTACCAGACCAATCAAAGTCTATTATTTTTACTGAATCATTGGGACCAGCCATGATGTTTGAAAGTCTCATATCACCATGCACAAAACCCTGGTTATGCATTTTCTTTACTGACTCCATTGTTTTTTTCTGTATTAATAGCTTTTTGTCTTGAGCAAGAGAGGATAGTGAGTCATATTCCATCAGTTGTTCCATAATCACAACACACCAACCACCAGGAATCCATTTACAAGAAAACAGTCTTGGTGCAATTTCCAGTTCCTGACATGTGCTATGGCACTCCTCAGAATATCTCTTAGCAAACTTGACAATCACATGTTGAGATGATAATTATCATATTCCATTTTTGCTTGAAAAAACATAATGATTTAACTTCTTGACATAGGTAATATTGGCAACAATCTGTCCAATACTCACTTCACTAATGTATGGAAAAGATATCTGCTGGTTTAGTTGTATGTCACTGTCTTGGTTCAGCTGGTCATAAAATCTTTCCAGATCATTGAGGGCAATCTTCAAGGCTTTGAACATGCAGGCAGTCCTCAGTAGCATGTCTTCATGGTGAGGATGATAAAAGAGTGGCATCACGGGTGTGAGTGGTTTGCAGACAGGTTCATCCAGAAACACAACCCCTGCTATACCCAGGCATGGCCCTGCAAAGTTTGATAGAAAGAGAAAAGCATACAATCAAAAAAGCAATAGAATCAATATAGGAATTGTTGTTATGCATACATTTGAATAGAATAAAATCACTATTCATATATACTTGCTAAGTACTGTGAACGCGATAGGCTATATCTGAGGGTTCTTCTCAGTATCGCTTCATGGTTGGGCACTGTGTGGTTAACGATTAT